TGATCTTTTTGTTACTTTTACTTGCAATCCCACATAGAAAGAAATAACCGAGGAGCTAATGCCGGGCCAAAAAAGCACTGACAGACAGACACGATTTAGTTGCTAGAGTATTTAGATTAAAACTATAATAATTAATGTATGTAATTAACAAAGGAAAAATTTTCGGAGAGGTGCAGTGCTTCATGTATTCAATTGAATGGCAAAAAAGAGGATTACCGCATGCCCACATTCTAATATGGCTTAAAGAGAAGTTGCGGCCCAGCCAAATAGACGATATAATAAGCGCCGAGATGCCGGATCCTGAACAAGATAAAGAATTGTATGATACCATCGTCCGAAATATGATTCACGGTCCATGTGGAGCACGATATTCAATATCGCCATGTATTAAAGAAGGAAAATGTACAAAGAAATTCCCTAAACAGCTATTAAAAGAAACAGTGCCCAATGACAATGGCTACCCTTTATACAGACACAGAGCTCCCGAAGATGGTGGCAGGAAAGTTACAATCAAATCTCGCTCTGGAGCGTTTGAAACCTTAGATAACAGCTGGATTGTCCCATATTCGCCCATTCTATGTAAAATGTTTAATTCCCACATTAATGTAGAAGCATGTAGCTCTGTCCGTGCAATCAAGTAAATCTATAAGTACATAAATAAAGGAAGCGACCAAGCAATATTTAATCTCAGGAGTGAAGGTGAGGCAAATCCCGTTAATGAAGTACAGACCTCTCAATCAGGGCGTTATGTCAGCAGTAACGAGGCAGCGTCGCATCTCCTTGGCTTCCCTTTTCACAAATGGCATCAAACAGTTACTTACCTTGCTGTGCACTTAGAAAATGGAGAGCGTGTATATTTCACCGAAAGAAATTTCCAAGAAAGAATTGCATCACCGCCAAAAACGACACCACCCTTCTTTCAACTTTGTCAAACCGACCCCTTTGCAAAAACGTTGTTATACGAGGGCGGCACTGAAAATTTCGGGAATCAAGGAAGTGACACAAGATTACTATTTAAAAATGTATTTATTGCTTTTCGAAGTATTCTCCGCGAAATTTGACACATTTTTCATACGATGGAACCAATCATTGAAGCAACCATTCCATTCGGAAGTTGGGATCTCCAAAATGGCCGTTTTGCAGGCGTCCACAGCTTCTTCAGGTGATGACAAATCTCTGTCTACGCAATTTATTCTTTATTTTAGGCAAAGTATAGAAATCATTAGGGCTTAGGTCGGGGCTGTACGGCGGATGGTCTAATAATTCTATGTTTTCTTGCTCTAAAAACTCTTTTGTTCTGTGTGCGGTGTGAGAACTCGCATTGTCGTGATGGAGGATGATGCGGCGGTTGCAGTTCTCTTTACGGAGTTCAGAAACGACCTGTGGCAAACAAATGCTAGCATACCGTTCTGCATTAACCGTTATTTATCCCTCAAGAGGAACATGGCCGGTTTTGGAGACAAACGTGGCCACCATTTGTTTTGCAACACTCCGTGAATGAACAATTTTTGTTGGCACGTCCACGTTGAAATTCAGCAAACCAGCGATAAGTTGTGGTTTTGGATGGGGCTTCATCACCAAAAGCAGAAATCATCCGGTCAACACACTGTTTTTGTGTTAAACCACTTCGAAAGTCATAATAAATCATCGCTCTTGAATTTTCTAGACGCAATCCCATTTTCTCAACGACTAAACAAGTTTGATAAAACCTTGTGGCAAGACCGAGAATCTTTTTTTAAATAAATAAATGGTATTCGATTTTTAAAACCAAGGGGTTTTCAATTAAAAAGATTTTAATATGACACGAACAGTGGAAATATTCTATTCCCGATACTTTTAGTGCAGCCCTCGTATTCTGAAGTCCCCCGCTGTTATACTTGGAACAGATCTAGGAAGAAGTAGAAACGCCATATTCAAGGCGCGCCTGTTGCAAATTGGCCCGGTGTAAAGTCATCTACTTCTAACTAATTTTGAATGTTTCTAAACAGAAACATTCAAGGCTGTTAAACCTGTTCGGGGTCCTACAGGATATAAAGACCTTAAAACTGTCAACGGTCAGGAATGCGCAACTTATAGAGAAGCATGTGAAGCTCTGCATCTTAATACAGAGAAAACGATAATCATCGGGATGAAACCATGGAGGAAGCTGTGCAGTGCCAGTCAGCAGCCAAAATTAGGGATATTTATGCAACTCTCATATCATCTTGCGGGCTGTCTAATGCACATGAATTGTGGGACAAATATAAAGAGTACATGGCGGAAGATATTTTGCGAAGGTTACAGCAGACACACGCGAACATGACATACAATGAACACATTTATAATGAAGCACTTGGAAAAATTGAAGATAAAGTAGTGGCAATGGTAGGCCAAAAATTAAGCGACTTTGGAATGATAAGCCCTCAGCGAACAACCGAAAATGAACTAAGTGATGAAAATAAACGTGAAACAAACTACAATGTACCAGCTTTGCAGCAGCAAGTAGCCGAATTTGTACCCAGCTTGCTTCCCGAACAAAAACGAGTTTTTGACAAAGTATTAGGACAAATTGAATTTGGAAATAGTGCACTTTTCTTTTTAGATGTCCCTGGAGGAACTGAGAAGACATTTTTGTTAAATTTATTACTAGCGCAAGTACGGAAAGATAAAAACATTGCTGTGGCCGTAGCTTCATCCGGTATAGCCGCCACGCTGCTAAGCGGGGGCCGCACTGCACATTCTGTTTTAAAACTCCCTCTAAATCTAGCCCTGGAAGAATCGCCGATCTGCAACTTTAGCAAAAATAGCGCACGAGGCATAATGCTACGACAACTTTTAGTGTGGGACGAAAGTACAATGTCGCATAAAAAAGCTGTAGAAGCACTTAATCGAACGCTCCAGGATTTGCGCAGCAATACCGATGTAATGGGAGGAATGGTGGTTTTACTGGGTGGTGACTTTCGCCAAACTTTACCTGTCATTCAAAAGCAGATGAAATTAAAGCATGCCTCAAGTCGTCTATTTTATGGAACAAGGTGACAAAATTTAGTTTAACTACGAATATGAGAGTGCATTTGTATAATGATATCAATGCTGGAAACTATGCTGACACACTATTAAAAATTGGCGATGGGCGGTTGGAAACGGATGCTGAGGGCTGCGTTAAATTGACGAGATATTTTTGTAATTTAGTACAGAGTTATTCTGAATTAATTGCGACCGTTTATTCAGATTTAACGAACAACATGCATGAAGACAAACAGTTATTTGAAAGGGCGATTCTTGCACCGAAAAATGAGAGCGTTTACAAAATAAATTCAGATATATTAAGCGAAGTAGCAGGAGAAATAACAGAGTATTTGCCAGTAGACACAGTTATGGACACAGAACAGAGCACTTCATATCCCGTAGGGTTTCTAAATTCTCTAGAGTTGTCAGGTGTGCCATCACATAAGCTTCAATTAAAATTAGGCGTCCCAGTCATGCTAATGCGAAATTTAGATGCTTCTCGGTTATGTAACGGGACAAAACTGCGTATGACACATCTTGGATGGAACATAATCGGTGCTACAATTTTGACAGGCGTAGGAAAAGCTGAAAATGTTACTATAACACGGATCCCTATAATTTCCACAGATCTTTCTTTTCAATTCAAAAGATTGCAGTTCTCTATTAAGCTCAGTTTTGCAATGACAATTAATAAAGCGCAACGTTACAGGTAGCGGGGGTCAACTTAGAAAAACCGTGCTTCTCTCATGGTCAGCTGTATGTAGCATGTTCGCGTGTGTCAAATGCCCAGAATCTCCACATTCTTTCCCCGAATGGAAAAACATATAACATTGTGTACAGTAGCGTCTTAAAATAGTGTTCAGTTAGTTTTTTTTCCAAAATTCCTACAATCAATTAATCAGAATTCCCACAGATCTTCCCTTTCAATTCAAAATTTCCTATTTAGCTCAGTTTCTTTTCAATTCCAAATGCTGCACCTCTGACGGACCTATTAAGTTCAGTTTCCTTTCAACTCAAAAGGCTGCATTTCTGACGGATCTTTTATTTGGCTCAGTTTCCTTTCAATTCAGAAAACTGCATCTCTGACGAATCAATTTAGCTTAGTTTCTTTTCAAAAGTCTGCATCCCTGACGGATAATTATGCTCAGTTTCCTTTAATTAAAAAAATATCCCATTTCCATTTGGAATAAACAGGCTATTTTCATGCTTTCCTATACGCTGCGTTTCAAAACATTTAAATAGGTTGACGAATCAATTTTGCTCAGTTTCCTTTTAATGGCTGCATCTCTGACAAATCTATAAAACTCAGTTTTCTTTCAATTCAAAAAGCAATGGATAGTTCATTTCCCAGTGACCATGCGAGCGAAGCCGCAAGTAACAGCTAGTTATGAATATATGGAACCCGAACGTTTACCCGAAGGGGTATAAAGAGAGCAAGAGTCTTCGATGAACGAAGCTGTCTGTCATGGGTGTCGCGCAGGAACTAAAACTTATGTTTCAGATAACTCGGATGGTGGTTATCAAATAAAATAGAAAAAACTGTGTTTAGTATCCTGATGTGTCTTCGCTGATAAATAGGAAGCCATTAAAACTGATACATGTTTAAACTTACGAAGACAAATAATAATATGGATACAGTTATTGATGAGACAATTCAGCTTGTCAAGAAAAACAGCACTAAGATAAGGAAAACATACATCAATAATCAATATTAATATCATAATAAAGTATAATAAATAATTAATAATGGGCAAGTTAAGAGATTGCACCGTGACCAGTATTGCAACATAATCACAGCTGCAGTTATCCTTGGACGATGGATAATCCCGTAGACGGCTTGTTTGTTTGTCACTTCATTTTATAAAATAGTAATATATATATATATATATATATATATATATATATATTAGGATTTTGCAATATATATATATATATATTGCAATTTCTGCACAAATGAGAGGAGGAGGTTTTCCCGTCCTTCAAACTTTACCTTTTTATGTCTAACAACATACCTTTCCAAGAAATCCGGTACCACCAGTGATGAATACTGATTTTCCCGCGTAAAAGTCTACCACACTAGTTTGCTTAGAATTATTATTTCTTGTTTCAGACGATACTCTTCGCCTGTAAAGATAGTTAAGTTAAAGTCTTCTTCACTACTTATAAGATGGTAAAGAATACCATCCAAAAAGGTTCAGCGCATTTTTATATTTACGTTTTTCCGTCACATTTATATGTGCAGATGCAGCTTTAGAACTAAAAGAAAGGCGGCGATCATTGCTGCAGCATTAGATATTTATAGTAGCGTTTTGTAACCCAATCTTAACGTGTTTACTAAACTTCAAGATAAAGGTATATAGTAACTAATAAACAATTTCGCCTGAAACTTGGAGGCAGTTAATGCGATATGAAATGTCTTATCAAACTGCATTAACATTAATATCTTCTTCTTCTATTAATAATCTTCTGTATTGTAAATAATATTAATTTGCACTCTTTTACATAGGCCTCCCCCTATCTATGGTGGAGGCCTATATTCAGCAGTGGATTTTTAAAACCTTTTTTATAGGATAGGGTGACAAACGAGCACACAGTCCTCCTGATGGTAAGTGATTGCTGTGACCCATAGACATCTACATCTATCCTCGTTTGCGAATCAAAATGCAGATGCGTTGTCACCCGTAAGAAAAAAGATGGAATGCCTCTTTTCCAGTAAAAGTTTCTCCAATTCTCTACACTCACCATATGAAACACAGCAGTGTTAAGTTGCTATTTTACGCTGGTATTCTGTGAGAGCGTGGTCCTTTCCCGGTCGAGCCGACCCATTCGTGCTACAACTATACTACAAATATAGCTGCAGCATGGCTCTACCACGTATAATTTTTTTTAAATATATAATAATAAGTTACGCAAAGGGCCGTGTAGTGCCGGTGAAACATTAACCACTACCTACCCCATATCATTCCGTGGGTATCGTAAGAGGCGATAGAGGAAAACAAATCAAGAGATGAGCAGCAGCGTACAACTGTAAACAAAAAAAATTGAATGAAATGATCTCCTTCACCAAGGTTTTGCCTGGAAGAAATCGCTGTTTGCAATAAGGCCACCTAATTGTACATACATTTTTAAAGTTAAGTTTGTTGTGTTGTGTAATAGTTTGTGTGCAATAAAAGTGTATAAATAAATAAAAACTGCGGTTGCCGAACCGCTTGCCAAGCGTGGCAACTATGGCAAATGTCCCCCCAATGAGATAATTTATGGGGAGGCCTATGTTCAGCAGTGGACTTTAATAAGCTGTAACGGTAACGGTATGTGAAGTCAACACAGACTGAGGTATTTCGAAAAGGTGATGAGAGTGACTCAATTAAAACCGAGTATCGGGTTAATACTAACATCGACAGATCGGAAAAATCATCATTTTGGGTTTTTGCGTATACGTTACATAATATATAGCTATTAAATATTTGTAAGCGTTTTAATACAAAGTATAAAGAAAATAATAAAACAAAACTTACTTAAATACCCTCACCCCTGGACACAATTCCACCTTGCTTGTATTAGCGACTGATAAAAGAGTCACGTCACGCAAAGCACGGTTTATAAAAAACATTGTGTAAATTTTATAAAAAATATACGAAACTGTTTTAGATAATTATTTTGAATTAAATTCTACACTAACGAACTCCTAATGGCAAAGTTAGCTAGGAACTCGCGATACAGGTTTCACTTGCACACGCTGCGGTAGGTAAATTACGACTCTATCGGGTTTAAACAAGTGTACGAATGTCAGGTTGCATTTCGCAGCAGTGCACGCTTGCAACATCCGATTTACCTGCCGCTAGTACAATTGCGTTGGCAAAATTAGCCTGCAAAATATCTTCCCGTGGGTGTCGTAAGAGACGACAGAGGGAAACTAAAACAGGAGACGGGTAGTTGCGATGCTTGACAGGCGAGTTTATAAGCAAAGTTTTTAAATATTTTAAGTTTACGTAGTAGATGCATGCTTTACGTGGTAGAGCTATGCTGCAGCTATATTACTGGTATAGTTGGCACAAATGGGTAGGCTTAACCGGGAAAGACCACGCTCTCACAGAATACCAGTGTAAAATAGCAGCTTAACGCTACTGTGTTTCGTATGGTGAGTGTAGAGAACCGGAGACCATATTTCCTGGAAACGAGGCATTCCATCTTAGTCCTCACCGGTGACAACGCATCTGCATTTTGATTCGTCATCGAGAATAGATGTAGATGTCTATGGGCCACAGCAACCACAGGTGGATTGTGTGCTCGTTTGTCAACTTTATCCTATATAAAAAAAAGTTATTATTAGGTTAGGTATTAGTTGCTCATCTTCTGTTATAGTTTCCTTCTTTCATTTCCTACGCCACCCACTGGACGATATGGAGTACCTAGTGGATATTCTTACACCGCCACTACACGGTCGATTTCTTTTAGCAAATAATTCAACAATAAGTGGACTATGAATTGTACGAATGAAAAATATTATCTCATTCCCGGTGGTTACGACGCACGCACGCACGCACGCACGCACGCACGCACGCACGCACGCACGCACGCACGCACGCACGCACGCACGCACGCACGCACGCACGCACACACGCACGCACGCACGCACGCACATACGCACGCACGCACGCACGCACGCACGCATGCACGCACGCACGCACGCACGCACGCACGCACGCACGCAGGCCCGCACGCACACACACACACACACACACACACACAAACACACACACACACACACACACACACACACGCACACACACACACACACACACACACACACACACACCACAGCATCCACTTAGCATCGTGCCCGTTTGTCACCTTTATTCTATAAAAAAATGGAAAAATTTCCTTCATTTTTATCATCATTACAACCCTTGTGTTGTGTTCAACAGTGGACTACAAGTCCACTGCTAGTCTACTGCTGAATACGGGAAACTTTCTTTTGCATCGATTGTAGGTTTATAGCTATATGGTCGGCCTAGAGGCACTTCAGTTTGCCCATTGCGCTATGTCGGTTATTCTGTTTTTACTATGGATATCTTCATTACGAAATTCACGAATCATGCCGAAAAATAGAGCTCTACCATCTTCATAGTTCACTGTGCACCTTTGAGCTTTCTCGTACGACCATCAGTGAGAAACCACGTCTCAGATTCATATGCCATCACCGTCAACATACACTTGATTTAAGTTTTGAGGTACATACAGAACGAAAACATGTTTTGTAGTTTTACAAACGCTGCTTTTTCCGCCGATTTCATCGCGTTTAATTTGACTTATTTTTCTTCTAATTACCACCGTTACAAGTCCTTTACAGCACCCATGATCACGGGAAATCTGAGGTATTTGTCATAGGGTTATAGTTAACCCGAGTTACATTCTTATTTATTAATACTAGTGGTCACCTAGTGGTCGAACTTCGATCGCAATATATTAAATTTTTAAGTTTGTATTTAAACTTTACATTAATATAAAATACATAGATATCTAGAATATAAAATACATAATTTTTGGCCATCGCACAAAATTCACAGCTCATATTAGTAAAAATTCTTTGCGACTGTGTAACTACGGACCAAAACCTGTTTGACATTGGCCTTAGAGTAACATAGTCACACAAGTCCTCGTGCAATTAATGTTTGTAAACTGCCTCCACGACAGGAGAAAATCCTGATGTGGTGGTAACGTTTTTTTTATAAATAAATAGTTAACATAAATTGTAAATTGTAATTTTATTCAGTTGAGGAGGAAAACATGAAAAATTGTTATGAGACTGATATAGAGTGCCTTAATTCAGAAATTTTATCTGTTCAAACCTCTCTCTCTGTGACAAAAAGTGTAAGATTTTTTCGTCACTATCCCTTGTCATAGTGTAATTTATTTTAAATGACGCTTCATTTTAAAAGACGCTAGTAATACATTTATTTGTATTTGTTAATCAGTAATATAATACGTTTATCAATTATAAGGAACTTCGTTCCAACCCACGTTTTTTACGTGGTAGAGCCATGCTGTAGCTATATTAATGATTTAGTTGTAGCACGAATGGGTTGGCTCGACCGGGGAAGGACCAAGCTCTCAAAGAATACCAGCGTAAAGTAGCAGCTTAACACTGCTGTGTTTCTTATGGTGAGTGAAGAGAACCAGAGAACCTTTTTACTGGAAACGAGGCATTCCATCTTAGTCCTCAGGGGTGACAACCCATCTAGATTTTGATACGTAATCGACGATAGATGTGTAGATGTCTATGGGCCACAGCAGCCACTTAACATCAGGTGGACTGTGTGCTCGTTTGTTACCCTTATCCTATAAAAAAAACATAGAATGTGGGGGTCTGTAAACACTGACAACAATGAAGTGCTCGAACTCAACACATGCCATTTCTCAACAGAGCGGCTTACAATATCCTTACGTTATTTAATTATGAATAATTTATTAGCTAATATTAAGGAGCCATCGCGTAATTTTTTTCTCTGTTAAAGCAACTAACTATCTGGTGTTTACTGAAGTTGAACGTATTATAGTTATAATCTTTTAACCAATGTTCAGTTATACAAAAAATATGTATGTTGTTACTATTTAAAAACATTAAAAACATATTGCATATTTTGATGCGCAATTTTTATTAATATTATCTTCAGCTGATATATAGCAGTTTATTAATTCTCTTGGATTTGGGAACACACACCTCATTTTTTGTCTGTTCAAACTATTTCTAAGAGTGCTGGAACAAATTCTATTTCATCCATATCTTCCATGCCTCCTTATTTTCATGACTCTTTCACTTTTTTTCCTGCTAATGAAGACGAGATACGCAAAACTTTCCACTCATAATTGTTTTCTCCGTTCTTCCGATAATGTAAATTTGCTAACACCTTTACACTGTACTGGTTATATGTCCCACTCTTTCGTTCTAACGGCTACAAGGCTCTGGAATGAAATACCTCTTGACATTAAAAAAAGCTTACAACAAGTTTATTTTAAAAACAAAGTTCGTGAACATTTTAGTAAAGCATTGCAATTGTGAATTAACGTTTTTTCCTAAAGAATGATTCTATCGTCACATATTTTCCTTATATACAGATATATGTGTATATATACGTATATAATATAATGTACATGTTTAATGTATTTAAGTAGATTTATGTATGTGTACGTCTGTATTAATATTATGATATATGTATAGTTATGTATATATGTATAGAATATATATATATATATATATAGCAAGCAATAGCTTCTAAAACTATACATATAGATAAAAATGGCAGGATTGAAATTGGTCTGAAATGAGAAATAAGGTTGCATACGGTTGATTTTGGAAGAGAAATGAGAAAGGCTTTACGCTAGAGTGTTAGGAAATCACCGTACTTCAATGAAAAGTTAATGGTATGAGTTAACACTGACGAAATAGAATTAATTACGTATATAACCATTGTTCTACTCCCATTATCACAACCATCACCTTTAGATTTGATAGACAGGAAAATTTTACGTATCTCGTTTTCATTAAAAGGAAAAAAAGTGAAAGAGTCATGAAAATAAGAAGGCATGGAAGATATGGATGAGATAGCATTTGTTCCAGCACTCTTAGAAATAGTTTGAACAGACAAAAAATGATTGTTTTAATCGTCTGGAAAAAAAGACGATATTAGGGGCAAGGTGTGTGTTCCCAAATCCAAGAGAATTAAGAAACTTCCATATATCAGCTGAAGATATTTATAAAAATTTCGCATCAAAATATGTAATATGTTTTTAATATTTTTAAATAGTAATAACATACACATTTTTTGGATAACTGAACATTGGTTAAAAGATTATAACTATAATACGTTCAACTTCAGTAAACACCAGATAGTTAGTTGCTTTAACAGAGAAAAAAGTTACGCGATGGATCCTTAATATTAGCTAATAAATTATTCATAATTAAATAACGTAAGGATATTGTGAGCCGCTCTGTTGAGAAATGACATGTGTTGAGTTCGAGCACTTCATTGTTGTCAGTGTTTACAGACCCCCACATTCTATGTTTTTTTTATAGGATAAGGGTGACAAACGAGCACACAGTCCACCTGATGTTAAGTGGCTGCTGTGGCCCATAGACATCTACATCTATCTTGTATTACGAATCAAAATGCAGACACGTTGTCACCCGTGAGGACTAAGATGGAATGCCTCGTTTCCAGTAAAAAGGGTCTCCGGTTCTCTACACTCACCATACGAAACACAGCAGCGTTAAACTGCTATTTTACACTGGTATTCTGTAAGATATGTATGATTGTTTTTAAAAAATAATGGAGGAAGTTTTGCTTAAACCTAGGCCGAACCGACCCATTCGTGCTACGACTATACTACTAATTGTAGTGTTATGTTACTTACATATCATTTTACACTATTTTAAATTCATTTTTCCATTCTGTTTTTATTTTCAGCATTCACCTCAAAACTGGATATTTTGTATCACCTTTATTTCCATAGGATCCTGTAACGTTTTTAAACCATAAGAACACAATAACAAATCATTTTCACTTCGTATCTTCACGCTATCAGCATTTTTTAATTTGGTGTCGATGGAGT